CTTTCTTTCTTTGCTTTCTTTCTTTGCTTTCTTTCTTTGCTTTCTTTCTTTACTTTCTTTCTGTCTTTCTTTCTTTCTTTGCTTTCTTTCTTTCTTTCTTTGCTTTCTTTCTTTCTTTCTGTCTCTCTCTCTCTCTCTCTCTCTCTCTCTCTGTGTTGCTTGCTGACCAAGCAAGGCCAAGCGAGGGTCTGAAACACAGTAACAACCAACTGCCAACTCTCATGAATAGCTTTGAAACATGCCGCATGCCGGAATTCAAACAAGGTGCTCATGTGTGGTTCCGTCTCAAGATCATGTCTCTCCCGCAAAAAGCCATGCCTCCTCCTTTCGTCTCAGCGCCACCTTTCACATCTTCCTGGCCACGTCTTCTCCAAGCATCTCATGTCCCGCATGTCTCGTCAGCTCAGCAGAGCCGTCAGCTGGGTCCCCAAATAGGAACAAGTTCGAATACATTCAATACGTGGGATTTACTGAGCTGGTCAGCTGGTCAACTAGGGAGTCCAAGAAATGAAGAAGTCCAAGAGATGAGGAATTCCGAATGACATTCTGGCAAAAATGCATATGCGCACGGATCAAACCTATTTTTTAGATTGGTGCCTGCCCGTTTGTCTACACCTATCTGATATTCGAAACCCCAGCTTTCTCCAACTCGAAACCCCACACGTTCCAACCCCACACGGTTCCAGCTTTCGCAGCCGCACCGGTCGGACTTGGACGCAGAACGCCGCGGATTCCCACCTTGGACATGCGGCTGCCCGTGCGCCACTTGTTCCACAGCTTGGCCACCGACTGGGAGAAGTTCACGAAGATGCGCCTAAGCTCCGGACCGGACCAGCTGAGCGGGAGCTCCGTTAGAGCTAGGTGGCGGTCAAAAGCCGATCCGGTGGACCTACAAAAGAACAAACGAAAAGAAAGCGCTACTGATCCGTGAGGTCAACCATGGTCAACCTAAGTGTTTGGAGAGGATTTTTGAGACTCTTGAGACCAGCTTTCTGTGGTGGAACTGCCCAGTGTCCAGAGACACATCAAGTCACATCAACTGACCAATAAGGTGCCACCAAACCTTAATTTAGTAATACCAAGGACTCTTTGAGCAGAACCTCGACTTTATGGTTCACACTGTCCAGTCACCACTCTCGACTGTAGAGCACAGCAAGACTAGACGCACCCTTCTCCACCGGTTTTCCCAAGGTGTTCCGGGCCGGTCATCGATGACGCAGTCGTGCATCTTGAAGTAAGCCTCTGGCTCGACTCGGCGCTGGCCGGGGGGGGGTCACCGCGCCGCACCAATCCCCCTGTGGATCGGTGCCTCCTTCGGCTCTGGGAATCCCCTGTTTGGTGGATTCCCATGTGATGGAGTTGGGGATTCCCAGAGTTACAGTCCTGAAATCATGGAGGTGCAAAATGGCCCCGGAAAGCCAAGCATGACCATGTTCCATGTACAAGCAGGTGGTGTTCCACTTCCATGCTTATTTCAGGGAGTGTAGTTGGTATTTCTCTATATCGGCCATCGGGCTTTTCTGGTTCCGTTGAACCCTCACTCACAGATCGAGAAGGAACACAAAGCTGCCTATGCAGATAGAAGCTCGGTGAATCGGTGCAGTTCTGTCGCCCGCGTCCCATTGACGTGTCCACACCTGCTCACAATCCCGTGGATTCTCGTAGATGATGAAGGCATATTGCAGAGAGTCTCCGGTCCTCGGAGTCTCACAAATCCGAAAACATGGAAAAAGAATCCGTCTGTAAATGAGCGAGAGGTGCTGATAACACGTCTTAACACGTCGAAAAAACCCTTTGTGGGCATGACGTTCCTGGTGTGCAGACATCGTGGAAGCATTGCGGCTGGCTGTAACACATTCGGAATCTGCTTGGTTGTTAACCTTCCATACACATTACATGGATGTGACTGAAACGCAGGAACCCCACAAGTACCACTGGCCACCCACAAGTACCACTGGCCATATGAAGAGTGACCCCCGCAGCAACCATTTTTTGCAGTTCTCCTCCGGCAACTCCGGTTCCCACCCGTGCCGCGGTGCCCGGTGACTGATCACCGTTCGCGGGGTGATCCGGTGGGGTTAGGGGGGCCGAAGATCCTTATGGTACGGCCAAACGCCATCAACCGTGGTTCTCGTGCCATGTTCTCGTGGCATCAACCATTCTGGTCAAGAAGTCCAACATCGATGCCTTTGGTGCCGAGAGATGTCTCAAAAACGCTTGCGACGGTCATCTTACCTTTTGTCGGCCTTTGCAATTGGGATGAAAGTGTCTTCTGGTTCAGCATCTGCACAGCAGGTCTTTTTCATCGTCAGTCTCGCAGTGAACTTGAACTTGTAACTGCTGCTGTAGTCGTGCCGTCTCAGAGAAGTGCTGCTGCTGCTGCTTTGGTGCGGTGCTTCTGCAACTGAGTGGTTCATGTTACTTCAAGATTGTCCTCCAAATTTCTGAGTCACAAGAGCCAAAATCTAGAGATCTATATAGAGCTCCTGGAATCCCAAGCTTCCAGTTGGAAGACCTGCTTGCAGTGCTCGCTTGTGAGTTCGGAGTACTCTACAAATATGTATATATATATTTTTTTTTCTGGCTATATATGTATACATATGGCCTCATATGGCCCCCCCCAAGATTTCCTCTGTGCTGGGTTGCTTAATGACTGATCTTGCATCTTCCATCTGTCAGCATGGACCCACCAGTCGTCAGACCATCCAGCCGTCCGTCTTTACGGATGGATCCATCGGGCTTCCACGCTTCCAGTCGCGCACGATCTCACAGCTCTTGATGGGTCCAAAGCCTGGGAACCGCAGGTCGTTCACTTGAGATCCGAGTTCTGTCGATCCGAACAGATGCAGCTGATACCGTTTCCAGATCGTCCCGTTTGAAAACAACGGCGCGTACGGGTCCTTTTTCGGACATGAGACATGAGAAAAATGGAACATGAAAAACATGGTGTCTGGTCTAAAGTGAATGGAAGAAACATACCAATCCTGCTAGCTGCTAGTCCCACTCAAGCCGCTCGGTGGGTCCAACAAGACCACCGCGAGTGTGGTTCCGGGGGATCACGAGCCCGGAGAGGGCTCCAATCGTTGCAAGCTGCTGCCCCTTGTGCAGAACTTCTGGGGCACTGACGTGAGAAAATGAGCTCCAAATCACCGTCCTGCTAGGTCAAAGAGCATTGAGCTTTGCCAAAGCCTTGCAACTACGATGTTCAGGCCTTGCCACCTACCCTCCTACACGACACCAGCGTGCCACGAGCTTTGGCAAGTAAAAGCTCCACACTCTGCACGGTGAAGATACCGTGCAGGTCAATCAATCGGGTCAATGTCCATCAACAAACATCCAGACATCAAGAAGTCTCGGTCCGCAAGAATATATACTATATATATAAAGGGCGAAAAGACGGGGGCCTGCCCAGCCTGCCCGGCCTCTCACTTTTGAGAAAACAGCTGAAAAACAATAAAAATAAAACAAAAAAACTCCCTGCATCTCCTTACCTTGACCCACAAAGACCCTGTCTCATCCAAAAAAAGAACTCCAACTCGCCGGTCCTGCGTGACGGGATTGAGCTTCGCCACGAAGAGGTCCGTGTCCTGCGCGGGAGACGGGATCTTGGCTTCCCGGGTTGGATTCTCCATCCAAAAGACCTCAAGTTGACCCCAACAAACAGAGTATATTATATAGTTAGGGCCCGGGCGAACAGTAGTTTCTTGCAGGGAATACCTGCTTAAGAAATTCGAGTCTGAGTCTCACTTGACAGTCTGAGTTTTTTCAAGACACCCAGAAATGTGAAGAAAAAAGCAAATAAACACCATAAAAGGGAATCGCTACTTGAGGCCGAGGGTGAAAGCTAGCAGGGTGGGGGTGAGCATGCAAATGCACACGTCCCAGAGACGTCCCAGGCAGAAGTTGAACCCGCGGGGCAGGGGGGCTCGTACACATGAAGTGTTCATGCTATGCAGCGCTCTCGAGGATTCCACCCCCCACTTGCTAAAGCAAGAACAACTCCAGCTAGCTGGTGCTAGCTTTCGTGACATCGCTACTAAGTGCATCGCTCCTAACTAGTAACATCTGTCCCTTTCTCCCCCCCGGCGGCTCCGGCGGCGCAATGTCGGCGTCGGGCAGGTCGTGGAGCAGCTCCAAGCTGGTGGCCTCGCTCGTGGCGCGCGCGTCGGAGGCGGATGTTCGTGGCATCCACGCAGCGTTCGTGGCATCCGATGAGCTAAGTCTGGAAATCAGAGTTTGCAACAGAGATTGAAGAACCCTATAGACTATCCCATAGGTACCCCAGTAGGGTCCGGTCACTTAACCTCTCTTGGCTGTGCTTGAAATCCCTGGTCGTTGAAGAGGTAGACATGTCAAGTACTGCATTGGACATCCTGGATGAGAACAGCAGTAGGATGGACATCCTGGATGAGAAACCGGGCTTCAATAGAAGTCGATGTTCAGCTTGATTGCTTGCGCTGTTCCAACTCATTGTAGCTAACTGTTCACTCCCAGGGTAACCAATCTAAAATCTCCACAAGAATGGTCAAGGAAGTGGTCGTTCTGACTGATAGCAATACTGTACATCTTAGATCAATTTAGCATGGTTATTCTGACATTCTATAATAAGGTGCGTTGTATCGTATGGTCTGTGTTGCGCCGCGTTTGCGGCAGGTCAAGTCGAACGCCCGGGTCCTTTCGAAATAGATGTCATCTCAACCCTTCTTCCTGCTGCCTCACCCCAGAACTGGACCAGATCTCTAGACCCATACAGATCCCTTATCGTTCCTGAGAAGGAAAGATCAGCTTTTGGGTGGCTCCTCAGATCCTGCCTCACATCGACCCTTGGTGATTCCGAAAAAGATTTGGCCCCCAAGAGGTACTCTCCCTGATCCCCATTGCCCGCCTGGCTCTTGGCCAAGGTCTTCGCCATGCGTTCCTCTGGCAAAAGGATCGCAAAAGGCAATGCTTGGGAGTGTCAGTGTCTACCACTGAACCAAGTGAATCAGCCGATGTCTGATTCAGCCGGAGACATGCTCCTGATGCTAGGTCAACCTTCCCAGAAGCCTTCTTATATAGTTCTTCCACTCTCGAACATGGCGACAAACGGACACATCCGAGTCCGGGCAACGCATAGTTCTTCAAGCATAATTCGTCAAAATCTCCGTTGCACCAATATGTTCAACTTCACTCTCTCAGAATTCCTTCGTTCGCCCTCTCTCTCTCTCTCTCTGTGCCATCTCTTCAATCTTCAATCTTCGCAGCTCCAGACTCTCAAGAAACAGCCAAGGCCCACCTGAGCTAATCAAAATAAGACTTGAACGCCCCACACCAAGCCACCAGCCAAAAACCGCTCCGGTGCCGGCTCCACCGGTCACCCATGCGGCGGAGTCCGTCCTGCAGCTCTGACTCGTCCTCCTCATTCTCAATGGTCTTGAGAACCTGCCCCACAGTCCCGCGTGGCGAAACGTGTCTTTTCGGCGCGCGAAAACGCTCTCGCTCTCGGGAGGAGACCGGTCTCGCACATGGTGCAAGCTGGTCTCTCCGAGAGGGCATGAAGCCATTGGGAATGCGGGGAGGGGGATTGCTTTCTCATCATGTTGATTGGTCCATGCAATTCATAGACATCGAATTTGTCCATTTGATCCGCTAAATTAGTAGGCCAATTAGCTTGATCAAAGAACGCGCGTGGAACCCAAATATCACAACATGATAATACAGCTTCCACATTGGGTTGTTGATGGGAGACCTCCTAGTAGTATACAGTATATAGGTTATTTAAATGGACATCAAATGAAAATCATGGTCTCTGCATCAAATAGTTGATGGGTTCCATCATGAGTCTCATGATGCCCTAAGAAACCCGTCAGCTTCGAGAGCTGCACCTCGTCTTGGACCACCTCAGGGCTCTTGGGCGGGATCAACTCCGCCAGCCTCGGCTGGGCGAGCGAGAGGCCGAGTCGACACTGCCGGAGTTCGACGGGCGTTGAACGACGCTGCTCGTCTTCGAGATGAAAGAAACAAGAGGAAAGCAGGCTGAGCAAGTCTGCTATGGGGATTTACTATGAAGTCACTAACCAGGTTTGGGGTAGTCTTGGCAATGGAAATGAAGAATTGAGTCAGAATGCTTGGACCCCGACTTTGGGAAGGCCGACCTTTCAGCCAACTCCCCGACGGGCTCCCGCACCCATCTGGATCATCGAAGGGGTCTTCTAGAATCTGGCCACGCACATGGACAATCGCTGCAGCCCACAATGGTCAATCACTCGTGGCGTGGACTGTTTTTTGGAGTCTCTGAACTAGTCTCAGGATGGCCAATGGCGAAGCCAGGCTTTGCATGAGTCTCTAAAATCAAAGAGAAGCAATCGTTCGTGGTGTTGGTGCCTGCAAAGGCAAAAGAAACTGCTGATCTACCAAAAGATCTACCATGACAGTGTTCCAACTCCACTCTCCTCACTATGATCATGCTCCCAGTGGCTCCCACTCCCATTTCTGCAACCCCCATACAGGGTGCTCGGCTCCTCGGTATGCCAAATCCGGATGTTTTGATAGGGCGCATGCCTGGCTTCGTTCATGGCGCCATTCCCGGCCCATTCCCCCCCGGTTGGAAGACACACCTCGATGGGTAAAGGACTCGACTCCACCATTGAACGTTCCGGGGAAATTCTGAACTTAAAAGACGCTTCAATTCCATGGTTCATCATGTGTCTGCCATGTGCCGCTGGGCCAGCCATTTCTTTGCTACCAGTCGATCACTGCGAATTGTTGCTTTCATCGCCCGGCTATTGACAAACAGGGTAAGTCAAGCACACGATTCTTGCAGCCGAGGTACTTTTCATCAACCATGCAGTCGTTGATTTTGTCCAGCACGTCGAACCTCAGAATATGTTCGTCGTGCTGCCCTGCGACTTCGACGACGACGGTCGTTTGAGGTCGAAACGTCATCGACGACGACGACGGCTTTTCATCGACTCGTCGATGACAGTCATCACAAGGTCCAAACATCCACAGTCAGAAGTACCTCAGTCAAATCCCCTTCTCATGGTAAGATCGGACGCGACTAGGAGCAAAGGGCATCGCTACTAGGAGCAAGGACGCTACTAGGGGCTCCTGGCCATACTAGTAAGAGCAAGGACGCTACTAGGAACAACATTCTTTTGTGCGCTCTCCCCTTCTCGCTCCCATTCTGCGCTGCATTCGCCGACCCTTTTTGGTCGCCTTCTCGGTGATCCACAGACCACAGAGTCGCCTCAAGTTCAATTGTGAAAACCGAATCAACCATGCGCCGGCTTCGTGCGAAGGATTTTCCTCCAAAGTAATGGAACCAGCGCCTGCAAAAAAATTGCCTAAACCATCACAACTGCATCCAACCATAGCAACCATAGCACTTGACAGGCATAGCACTGATATAAGAGTGGGCTCTACAGTAAGTGCAGCTTCTCCGCGTGTATCCTGAAAAACACTCGCGCCACCAACCAACTCTGTATGCATTGAAGCGGATCTGTGTGAATCCGAAGAGGTGCTTCCTATGCCGATGAGGGCATTCGCATACAACATGCGAGCGAAAGCATAATGCTTCCTGCTTCTGTGGAGCCTAGCTCCGCTGCTGCTCCTGTTGGAATGGTTTTAAGTTCATGAGCTAAAGACACGCCACAGTCGCCTCAAGATCAAGAATCGGGGAGCTGCGAGCACTAGCCTGCTGAACACTGGCAGACGCCCCGCAAGCGGGCGCTTGCGCTTCGTCTCGCGCTGGTGGGCAACCAGAGCAAGCGAAAAGAAGGCACTTCCCCAGCATGGCTACTGATGTAGCTTGGCACTGCGTCACAGCCCAATTCCCACAACAAGTTGAAACAGCGTGCAAACTCAAACGTCTCGCCGGCTGGCAGCCTTTCTGGCCTGCCTGTGCTTCAAGGATGCCATAGCCCCATCACCTGGCCGGCTTGGATAGGGCCAATCCTGCAGCGCAATCCCAATTCAATCCCTCTCAGCCCTCACTCCAAAACGCAAACTGATGCCTCTGCCTCGTTCGGCGCATGACGCACCGAAAAACGTTCACGGCCGGCACCACCGTGTTCCAGTCACGGGCCTCCGAAGCTTCCCGTGGCACTCGACGCCGAGGCCCCGGGAAGCTTGGAGCTATTTCCTGTGAAAACCCTTCACAGCCTCTAGCTTCATGACGAACACACATCTGTGGATCTGTGACAGCCCACTGTGATGGGACAGTAACTGGGACAAGCTCCAGCTCCTCTCACAGCCTCTAGCTTTGGCAGCTTCAGGAGATGCTTCACATCCGTCAACGGGATGGGAGGTCTCGCAGCTTCCTTCTGACTGGCTTTGCAGGAAAATCATGGCATCGGTCACGATACAATCATGGCGACCGTGCCACAAACGAAATGCCAGGGAGTGCATCCACCCCTGAGGCTGAGGGCCATCGTTGTCATGTCAGCATCGTTGTCACGTCTGGAACTCATATGTCACTGATGAGGTCGCTTCGAGGTGGAGGCCATCAGAGGTGTCTTTGGCTCTTGAAGTGAAGAAGCCAGTTCTTGCAGATCGACGAATCGAACCTTGGAGCACCTGGCTGGAACCAATCTTCCTGTTTAAATGCTTAAACAAACAACATCAGCTGGAAGAAAAAATCCCAGTGGAACGACTGTTGCTCAAACATGATGACTCGTGATGACTCTTTCTTCCCAAGCCTGCCTCGGAGCCCGTTTGGCATGAGCGTGGCACTGACGGTGATCAAAGTGCTCTTCGACCTGGACATGGCATTTGAGCGCAACCGACAGAACCCTTTGATAGCAAAACGGGCGTTCCTATCACACCTTTAAGAAGAGAAGCCTGAAGTCACCACAAGGTTGGAGGCCATCGCTATTATATAGAAACTAAGAAAGGTCTATATAATATAGTGTGCTATTAGGTTGGAGGCCATCGCTTGTAGGTTGGAGGCCATCGCAGTGCCAAAGCATCCGGCTTCCCAAGTTTGGAGCTACTCCCAGGACTCAAAAAAGACTTGGTCGAGAAAGTTTGCTCATGTTTGAGCTCCAAAAAGGGAAGTGAATGCCAGGCATGATGTGGTTCCAGAAGGGAAGAGATAGATTCAAGACGTGTCCTGCCTACTGACGAGCAACATTCACCTGAGTGGGTGCAATTGTCTGCAATACTGCAAGGAACACCTCCAAACCTGTGAGGCATACTCCGAAGCCACCTGAATCTGGACTGTTTCTCTGGGAATGATCTCATTGCTTTTTCTGGTGTTTGTTCTTGCTCACGCCCCCCCTAACGACCTCGGAGAATTTCCACGTTTTTATCATTCGCCAAGTTGATGCTACGTTGGGTATGGGGTGGGGTGGGAGGGGTGGGGTGGGGTGGGTTTTGTTAACGTTCGCTTGAACTTGCGAACCAAGTTGATGCTACCAAGTTCATACTACGTTGGGGATGGGGTGGGGATGGGGTGGGGTGGGGTGTGTTAACGTTCGCTTGCACTGCAAACCAAGTTGATGCTACCAAGTTGATACTACGTTGGGGATGGGGTGGGGTGGGGTGGGGTGGGGTCTGTTAACGTTCGCTTGCACTTGCAAACCAAAATGATGCTACCAAGTTGATACTACGTTGGGGATGGGGTGGGGTGGGATGGTGTGGGATGGGGATGCCTGAAAAACTGAAAGAGTGGAAGTGTGTTAATGTTATGAAACAACCGAAAACAGAAAATATCCTGTTCTTTTGACTTCCAGGTCCCCGAACGAACTGTCAATTCACCATGGAATTACGAATTGAGAGGCGTGATATGGTGTAAAAAAACATACAAAATGACACTGAGCTAAAACAGGCATCGCCATAAAGTACCAGAGGGGTTGTTAAAATGCCTCGAAGCTGCATGTGAAAACGTGCACATCGCGCGGGGCCGTTGCAGCGGGCGTGACCTTGTTCTTTTCTGTATTTTGTGTAGCAGCATTTCGTTGCACACCCGCCACCCAAAGAACAAGACAACATCAGCCGAGTTCCTGGCACACCGCGTCAGCCAGTTCGCTGCTCGCTCCGCGCCCGCGGCTGGTGAGCTGCTCAGGAGGAAGCGACTCCACGATGAAGGAACCAACGGTCCAGCCACTCCTGGAGAAGAGGAGGCGCTTCCAAATTCCTGAAAAAAGAGGGAATTCCCAAGCTGAAGAAGAGTAGCACCACATGAGAAGAGTTATACCGTAGCTGTGAGCATGGTGTTTTTCCTTTCCACTCCACGTGATGGGAATGACCATCACGTAGAACTTCGCTTCGACCCCCCGCCGCACCCAGCCGCGAATCGGTCCGTCCACCTCCCAGCCGCTTCACCGATGGATTCGATGCGATCCTTCGGACCGGTACCTGGCACCGCATGGGTTCTTGACCCGGTTGGTGCAGGTACCTACCCTGTGGCCTCAATCGCCGAGTTCAGAGTAAGGTGCCATGAAACCAAACAGGGAACCGGAGTGGTCTAGAGCTTCGGTGCCTGATCTGGCAGTCTTAGTCTTCCCTCCTTGTCGGCTTTCCGCCCAAGCTCTTCTTCAAGGCTCCAGCGTCGGGCAAACTCCTGGAGCGTCGGTGCTCTCAAACACACTCGCCCAGGGCGACGTGAACAAACACACTCGAGGTTTGGAGAGACTTGTGGAGAGCAAACACTGATAGATTGCAACCTCTCCCCAGAAATGATTCAATCATATCCTCGGACACTGATAGAAACATCATACTGACGGCACTGTGCGGGATCAATTGATGTTTGAATAGTTTTTGCCACTTGCAAATGGCAGAAAACCCTTGCTTTGCGGTTATAAAGAATGTGCCATACACCCCCGGTAGTAACATATGACTTCTCTACCGGTAGAAACATACCGTTTGACCTCCAGTAGGAAAGAACTCACTACTTGTTGCTCCTTTTCGCTTGTTCGCTTGTTCATAAATGTTTACAGTAGTTCTTGCTGGTTTGCCGTGTTTCAGGGTATATGGATGTATATGGATGTTGGCTTGTCATTCGCAACGTGCAGTGACACGTTTGTCTTCCTTCTGCCAGTGACACCGTGTGCAACCTTCCGTGTTTTCGGTGCATCAGGAGGACCAGTTCGAGCAGCGAGGGCATCGCTACGAACGGGGCTCCTGGCCTTACTGGAAACAAGAAGCTACGAGCTTTTTCCTGTTCCTTCTGCCAGTTCCAATTCCAGGTGGAGCAACCTTAGGTCCTGGATCGTCTGGATCTTGTCATCTTTCTTATTACTTTGTTGTCGCGTCTGTCGTCGTCTGGTGACGTGGCCCTTTGGACTGCCTTGAACACAGGTTCAACAAGTCATACAGTTTGTCAATTCTGTCTGAACAATGCGGAACCATGTCGTTGCTCTTACTGTTTTTGGAGCGAACACAAATGACATGCGACGACTCAAATCCTGAGCACAGAGTTTCGTTGCTGCACCACCGGTAGAAACGCACCACTTCTCTCAAGCAACTGCCAAAACCCGGACTAACTTTCGGCTCAGCAAAAGGATGGGCCCTCCAGCTGAGGTGTGAGGATGAGGCGAGTGATTTGAAGTGGGTGAGTTCAGGTGGATGAAGGAGTTATAGGAAGCTCACCAAGCCCAACAAAACCCTCGCTCTACCCGATCCACCGGACCTCCACCAGGCCCTGCACATCACGCCCGCTGAAGGCCCAGCCATGAAGCGCCTCGCCCAACGTGCACGGTCCGCCCGCCGCGCCTGGGCAGCGGGGCTCCCGGGTCTGACGTTACTAGTTGCGATGCACTTGTTACTAGTAGCTTCTACAAGTAGCCCTTGTTACTAGTAGCGATGATGGGGTCGACCCCAACCCATCAATGCGGATGACTATGACAAGCCCTCTGTGGCCTCTTATGTACGTATACACATGACATGTATATATTTATATGTATATTTATATATTATCTTTGCAAAGTGAGACTAGGAATGAGCATTGGAGTCTGGGAAGGAATCGCCCTCATTTCCAGCAGACTCGAATGGGTTGAAAACGTGTGCAGCACGACTTGGGACAGGAGGGTGGTCACCAAAAAAAAGGAGGGCCCGGATGTTTGGTAGCGATTCTGCACACTCCGACTCGCGTGGCTGGAAGCGGAAGACCATGTTTCTTTATAAACAAACAGATTATTTCAGATCGTTTTCCACGATGTCAGCGGGAGTGTATCCAAGCTTGAAGGACTTTGTGCAGACTTCACAACCTTGTCCGATGCTGGAAAGTCCTCCATGTGCGCCTATGCTCTGCTTGATGTGGTGCATTCCAGCCCCGTCAAACCCAACAAGCAAACCATCGAAATGGTGAAACTCCAGTTGGACACCTGATGCCAACATAAGAGAGAAATGGAAAACGTCCTGCGTTTTCAATAGTTCCAGTTATGTTTCCGACAGAATCTTGTGACCCCCGCAAAGGAGGTCAGGAGACTGCGTATGACCAAGCACCGCGCCTTGCTCTGCTCGCTCCATCACGAGCTTTTGGAAGCGCTCCGCGGCCTTTGGCTCCAAGCGCAACAGCCGGTCGTCAACCTGCCAAAGCACTACTCGGCGCTTCGCCAATGCACTACTCGGCGGGTTTTGATGGGTTTCAACAATTAGTAAAACATGTCTTCTATCAACCCAATTGCGGAATCCAGGTCCTCAAAAGGTTTAGAGTTTAGAGTCCCATGTTTCATGAGGTGGAATCCCAAAACTGATTTATGTCCCACTAAACCATCCTTTAGGATAAACGAGGGAAAGGCAAGTGCTCCTGCTCCCTGCTACCCACCAATTTCTTGATTATCGCTTAAGGCAATGACATCGATCAAATCCAGAGATCCTCACGTTTTTTCCCTTCACCCCTATCCAACTCCCACCAGCAAACGTCTGCCAGCGCTCAGAATGTTTGGATGTCTGCAACGCTCCGGGGCTCCGGAACACCCCCGGCGAAGTCCGACGCGATGTCCGCGACGCGAGACTCGTCACGCCAGGGGCGACTGCGCCGAGCGCGGCGCCCGACGTCCGCGCCTGCTGTTGCAAGAGCTGTGCGTCGGGCCACCCGAACTCGATGCGAAGGACCAGTCGGCTCAGCACGGCGCCATCCAAATCCTCCACGACGCGGACGTCGGCAATCCAAGTCAGTTCGCAAGCCAAGAGAAAGCACATGAAGGAGCCCACTGAGGTTTCGGAGCTTCGGTTTCTTGGTTCCAAATCTTTGGTACATCATATACATCTCAGAATGCACACCTACCTACTTACTGTAAAATTATATGTCAAGCAATTTTTTGCACGTATATTAGCTCTTCTGGCAATAATGCAAAGTGTTTCCACTGCGCAGCTCCAGGGTTGCTTGACACGGCCAGCAGACAAAAGTGGCAGGAGGCTCCGCAGTCATGTCTTTGCTGTGGATTGACAATGCTCAACGTGATCACCCCTACCGCCCACCTAACGAGTCGAA